CGACTCCCAAGGGAAAAGAAAAGGCTAGGTGGCGAATGGTAAAACCAATGTTGGGCATTGCTGGAGGAGTTTTATTTAAGGCGAACTGTCAAGGGGTTCCCATTATAACCCAACCGCACAAGGAACGCAAAATCCGGGAACATAACACCGATATGACGGAAACTAGGGCGGCAAGAGTGGAACAAAACACTAGGCATAAGGCCGAGCCTTCCACCCTTTACCAAGTATATAGATGCATTAATTAAATAAGATATATTGTGATAGCCCAACAAGTAAACATGTTCCAACAAGGAACAACATAACCATGTACCAACAAGGTACAAACTTCATCTTCACCTGCAACTAACAACGCTATAAGAGGGGCTGAGCAAAGCGGTAACATAGCCAAACAACGGTTTGCTAGGATAAGGTGGGTTAGAGGCTTGGTTCACAATATGGGAGGCATGATAAGCAAGTGGTAGGTATTGCATCATAGGCATAGCAAAAGAGCGAGCATCTAGCAAGCAAAGATAGAAGTGATTTCGAGGGTATGGTCATCTTGCCTGAAATCCCACAAGGAAGAAGAACGAGTCCATGAAGAAGACAAACGGACGTAGTCGAACGGGTCCTCACAAACGCACGTTATCGGAACCAACCCGAATAAGCAAACACCGGAAAGAAGCACACAACATAGTAAACAACCAACACATGAACATGATATGATATGTGGGATGCGGCATGTGATGCATATGCATAATTTGGAAAGGAATGATTGAACCTGGCCTCAACTTGGAAATCCAAGAGTGCCACTGGAAAGGTGAGATGATTTTGGTTGAAATCGATATAAAGATCACAAGGATCGGATGCACGGTTTGAAAATGGTAAGTAAAACAAATATGGCACCGGTCTGCGATAAACAGCAAGTAGCCATCTAAATGCATCAAGTTAAATATGCTACAGCACTCAAACATGGCAACAAAATACATGGCAGGGATCCACTCATGATGCTTGACAAAAGATGAACACTGAGCTACGGCTAATTCATCCATTAACAGGTTTAAACAAGCATGGCAAAAGTGCAAATGGTAACAGGTTTCAGACTTGGTGAAATTAACACAAGTCTGGAATTTATCATCAGGAAGCACACTTTAGAGCATGAAAACTACAAGCTACAGGAACTTAACATGATAAGGCAAGGCATGGCATGAAGCTACTCAAATCACTTAACAAAAGTCCCTTAGTGACCTTGAGCCAAAAGGGATCAGAAAATATAATTGCAAGCATGTGAACATGGCAAAAACAGAAACAGATTCAGACTTAGTGAAAACTGGAGCATGCAAAACAGATTAACAAGTAGGCATGTTTACGAGCTCGATGCACTCACTACAAAGCATGGAATGACAAACTAAGCATACACCCTTCAAAAATACATGGAATAGGAGCTATACATGGCAAGAACAATAACATAGCATGCACGGATCAATAGCAACATCCTCGGCAAAATCGCTAAACATGTTAACAATCTATCAGGATCACTATATAGCAAAAGTAGAGCTAGATTGACTCAAGCTAGGATGCTCCATAAATGCAAACAAAGACATGGATGGATAGAGCACCACAATGTTAACAAAACATCCTTACTGATCATCCTTAAAAGAGGCACGGATCACTAGAAAACAACATGAACATATGGCATAACGACAAAAACAGGACAAGGACTTAGTGAAATTCCAAGTCCCTGAAATTAGCATTACCGATTACGCTACTTTTCAATCTTGTGCTAGTCACCACAAATATCACAAAAATGCATGGCAAGCACCACTATAAAGATGGCATGACATATAACAGAACACATGTAGAGCTCAGGGTCATAGCACGCACACAATAATCATGGCAAAAATGACAAAATGCCATTTGCTGAAACAGATCTGACAAAATACTCACATAGCCCTCTTGCAACAACATTTCGGGCATCAAGATGAGCTCAAATGAAAATGATGCAATGAGATGAAATGATGTACTCGTCGAGACGAACATTTTGATATGCTACATGCACAAATCGGAGTTACGGATGCGGAGTTATGATGCGATGAAAATGCATAAAAATTACTGGGATAAAAGACTTAGGGATAAAAATTAGGTCAACCTCGTTTGACCGGATCTGGATCTGGGCGCGCAACCCGAGGTTCATCGGTGAGGCACTCGAGGTGGCCGGAGACGCTGCGAGGGGAGGTAGCCGAACTTGGGCTGGAGAGGAGGGACTCGCCGGAGCGCGGTGGAGGAGCCGCGGGGCTCGCTGGAGTTGCACCGGGGCGGACCCGGTGACCCAGGGTGGCGGCGGAGCACCCGCGATGCACGGCGGCGGCGCGCAGGACGGCGGGGATGGGCGGCGCTGGCGACGAGGCTCGGAGGCGGCGAAGCTCGGCCGGCGATGGAGGCTCGGGAACTGCTCGGCGGAGCTGGCGCGATGGCCGCGCGAGTGCGGCGGCGGGAGGCTCCGGGCCTGGGCAGGCTTGCGTCGGGCCCACAGGGTCGCGGCGGCGCGGGGAGAGAGAGGAGGCGGGGCGCGTTAATGTGGCGGCGCGGGA